CAAACTCCAAACAGCACCCAGGAAATACAAAGTCTGTCTTCTTGGCTATTACTGCTTTGAGATGTTCTGTATCTGCTCCTTTCCCTGCTGCCACACACAGGTCTGTAAGTGGGTCCATGTCTTCAGCTCGTATTTTTCTAAGGCTATCACCAGCTCCAGCCTTATTCTTGTACAGAATCTCAGTGTAACAATGTGGAAGTAGGAGTCTGGCCAGCATCTGAAGACAACTACATGGTGTAAAGATAAAAGGTAAGGATTAAGCTCTCCTTATGGAATGCAGGACTATGATAGGACCTGTCAGCCAGTAGTGTGGGGGTAGTTCTCAGCCAACAAGCTCTGTTGGTCCAACAGTACCAGTCTTGAATGGAGATAATTTGTCTTAGCACCACGTCTTGAAACATCCACTTGGAGAACTTGTGATTTGTGGAGCTTCCCCTGTTGAGAAAATATAATCAGGATTTTGAAGAGCTATTTCTCTTGGCAAAAATGTGCAAGTAGTACTTATCCTAGTGGGGATAACAGAGAGATTAGAGAGGGCAATACTTTAGCTGTATTGTGATCATGTATTCGAGCTGAGAACTGTGGTACTCAACCTAGAGCCTGTCTGATTTTGAGGGGATGAAGAAACCAAACTGTAGTGGCTCTGGAGTCACTCCCTGGACTGATTCCTTTACTGGATCAAAGTACAGATTCACCACGCAAAATCTGGTATACTCTGACCCAACTTTCAGGTGGTTACAACTTTGTGAAATAAAGTTCACTCAAATTTTGGAAACTTCTGTTCAGCTTCTCCCAATTTCTACTCAGCATTGAAATGAAATGAGAGGAAAAGACACATTTTGTAGAAGAGTTTCTTTAAAATGGCATTTTGGAAACAATTTACAGAATATAAATTATATATATATGTACATGTTTAATATACAATTCCTCCAAAGCTATAACCACAAAAAGCTGTATTTGTGTTTATCTACAGAAAACAGTGGGCTGGTGGCAACATTGGTCAAGTGTTCAATCATGAATAAGCCATCAACTGAGCACCAAGTCTTCCAGCTGCAGTAGAAATTAGTAGAAAATGTTAGCAAAAAGTCTCTTTTGGAAACTTCATGAAAACAAATTTTGGGAAGGTCAGTTTGGTCAGCCTGTTAAGTCAGTATATACATGGTACAACAGGGAACTGGGAAGCTCATGCTGCTCCAATTCAATATTCACAGTGTCTCTGAAAGGCTGATTGAGTTGCTTCTCATTCCCTATTGCCAAGGAAGATAGAGCAGGTCAGGGATCAACAGTCCTTATAAATGAAGGTGCATTTCTCCATCTCAGAACTGCAGTGAGCATGTTTGTTTCTCAGTCAAACCAGAGAGGCTCACTGCAGTTCTGAGATGGAGAATGTTTGTTTCTCAGTCAAACCAGAGAGGCCAAGAAAGAAAAACTGGGATGAAAAATGTGGATGGTGTTCAACACACAGCTGACCAGTTTCAGACCAGAGAAGT